TAAAAACATAATACCAAAAGTGTATTAATTTATATGTAGTGAATATTGTTTGTTGACTAAATGACGAATGTGATGTGATAATACAAGGAATTAAAATATTTATTCAGTGCTAAAAATAAATATACTGATGCTGTGTTTATTATAATTAATTAATAAATGACGCCTAATAAAATATGAAAGCTCAATAATACAACTATAATGTGAGGATGAAATGTTTAATATTTTTATTGACAACTTGACTTGAAAGTTATATTCATCTATTCAAAAGTTTTTGTAATTTAACAATTTCAACGCTCACAATGAAATTAGATGGCCGGTAATTACTTGCATCATTGATTTATTTATTTATATAATTATTTTTTATTATATAATTCAACTATTTATGTTTTCCTCAATTGTAAATATATTTTTAGGTTATTCATTTCTGTAAGTCTGTCGACATGGATTAGTTCAACGGTAACAAACCTGATGGTAATAACAATATATCATTTTTGAGTCAATTGTTATTATGTATAAAAAAAAGGTAAATTATTTTAATTACCTCACCAATATTAAAAAATATTCAATGACCCTGGCGGTTTTGTGGTCACGGTGAAAATGCTATAGAAAGTCGGTAGTTCCCTCTATGGTCAACAGTGAGAACTTAGTATTACAGTAGTGATTTCACTGTGAAACATTGGTGACTTTGTTTCATTTCACTACTGTCAAAATATGGTATATGTCAGATCATTAGACCTCGGTAAAATGGTTCAAACGACATTTTTATATGGCAACTATGGAGTGAAACCATTGTAAAAAGTTCATAAATGTATAGTTATTTGACAGTCAAAGCACTTTTGTTACACAGTAAAATAGGAGTGAATCCAAAGTCGTTTCACCGTCGTTTTACTGTCGTTTCACTGTCGTTTCACCGTCGTTTTGCTGTCGTTTCATCGTCGTGTCACTGTCGATTTACCGTCGTTTCACGTTCCTTCCTTTGTCAAATAACGCTCCTTTGACCGTCTTTGAATAACTTACTCATGAAAAATCCCATTTGAAAATGCTAAAATTCTCCAAAATGAAAAATTTAGTATTTTTAGGACAATAATAATTTTAAGTAATATTTACGGTTTTTTTTAAATTTATTAATTACTAACTCCTTGATACACTACTAAGCCTGTACAGCCCGGCGTGAGTTATGAGTACCGATGTTCACTGAAAATTAAATTCCAGCTCACACCGGGATTCGAACTCACGCCTCACCAGTCCCAAGCAAGCATGACAAGCGTTGTACCGCTTAGCCATGAGACTGTCTACTAAATCGAGTTCCGTTCTGACATTCGTACAGAGCACATATATCGCCTCTTTGCTCCTACGAATTAACATTTTAATATGTGATTCTTCATAATAATTTTTTAACATCAGTGATTGTTTGTTAACACATAAACAGTAATATTAATGTTAGTGAAAAACTTTAGTAATTATTTGAACTAAAAATAAAAATAAAAATATATAAGTGAATAGTGACAAACAAAAGCTTCCCGGCCATGGCCGAGAATGCTAAAAAATCTGAGGCAAGTTCTAGCAACAACCAGCCAATAGTTGTACACACAAAAAGGAAGTTTTCTAATGCTTCTGACGAAGATCTTTATGGTAAAAATTTACGAAAATCTCTTAAAGATTTAGTTCAAATTTGTAATACAAATTTACTGCGTAAAACTTTCTTTGGGCATATTGTCACACCGAAGCCAAACCTAACTCGATCTCGCTCTCTCTCTAGAGAGAGAACAACATCAAACAAAGAACCCTCTGACAGTGGGTTTATTCATCCAAGGAGGTACAGTAAACAACCTCCCCCATCGGAAAATACCGGGCCAAGCATCTCAAATAGATTTGAAAAAATCTCAAATCCTGACATAGCGTCAATAGATGGCGACGTTCAACCAATTCAAGATCAAATTTTCCGAAAACCGATAAATAAAAATACTTCTTATCGTAGATCCACGATCGATAACTCTGAGAACACAACGACATCTAATGTGACTAAAACTACTAAAACAAACGTCAAGCCTCCAGTAATACATACCAAAGGTATACAAATAAAAGAATTACTGAAAACATTATACGACAATGGCGTCGACAAAAATTCCTATTGGATCAAACACGTGGGAGAATCTTACATCAATGAACCACTAGTGGACGTTTATGCAAACAACAAAGACACATTCGTCAAAATTAAAAATGTTCTTAAAATTAAGAAAATGGAATTCTATTCCTTCACACCAAGGGACGAAAAACCAAAGACTCTAGTACTAAAAGGAATACATGGTGGTTTTGACGTGAATAACGTGATCGAAGCAATAGAAGATCTACAATTACCTGATATTAAAATTACCAAAGTAAGTAAACTAGAGTTGAACAAAGAAGATAAAAGTCTGTATCACTTTTTAGTACAATGCTCAAATGAGAGTAAGACTGCTGGTTTAACCAGACAAAAAAGACTGCTCCACCAACCAATAAAATGGGAGAGACTGAGAAGAAAAAAGATGTTTCAATGTACCAGATGTCAACAGGTAGGACACTCAAGCAGCAACTGCAACTACGAACAACGCTGCGTTAGATGCGCAGGAAATCATGACAAAGATGCAGACTGCCCTGTCGCAAAAAACAGCGACAGATCCCTCACCAAATGTGCCAACTGCGGAGAGAATGGACATCCTGCCTCATACGGTTGCTGCCCATACTTAAAATATGCCAATGGACAGAAAAAAATGGTAATGTCAGCGAAAAGACAGTTAAGAATTAAAAAAATTGAACAAATCAGCAGGTTAGTCAATCCAAATATTTCGTACGCAAATACAGCAAAATCAGGTACAGATCATCAAAATAATCAACATCAAACAGAACAACTTCTATTGTCTGGCCCAACAACACAACCGAATCTTCAAAGTCTTAATGACATTTTAAACAGCTTTAAAGAATATATCATGGCTCACATAAATAAAAATTTCGAAGAAATTTACAGAAAAATTGACTTATGTCCACTTTAATAAGTCATCATATCTACAGGCTACTATAGGCCTCACTTCCATTTAAATGTATATATGTAAATATTAGTAGTTTTAAGCTTTAGTTTTATATTTTTATTAGTTTGTAAGGTAAAATTATGTTGGTATGGTTTTACTTTTTTCCATATATCTAAAAATTAAATAATGTAGCAAGACATCCTAAAAAACGATAAAAACTTTATATTTAAATAGTTACTCTATAAATAAAAATATGCTGAGATTTATATTGCATTATAACCAAGCGTAAACAAAATATTATATTAATTCTGTTTAAGTTATTTTCTAAGATGTTTTTGACTTATTTCATGTATATGTATTATTATTAATAAAAACATACTTTTTAAAACCAAAAAAAAAAAACTGTCTACTAAATGGTAGCGAGTTTGAATGAATATTTTTAGACAGGGGCAGGTAGTTTTTAATTAAAAGTCGATGAAATTTTTTTTTAATATTTATACCATTATAATTAAGGACGATTTTCATTGTATCTTGAAATATCCTGATTCTGTAAATAACATAATTAAAATTTTTTATTTCATAAGCTTTCCTTCATTTGTGTTTGTCATATACATATTGATGTAATTATTAAATTTATTAACTGTCGAATAGTGTTAAAAAATAAATATTTTTTAATCGAGCGAAAAAATATTAATTTGTAAATGAAATGTTTTAAAGCGTTTATTTTAAAAATTTTTTTATTCTGAAAATTAACTACAAATAACTAAATGGAATGATTAATATCAATAGAGTTCAGCACTCTACACTGTTTATTAAATAATAATTGAACAGCATTTACATCATTTGTCCGGAAGAAAACGAACGAGTATATACGGTGAAAAGAAGGTGATTTTACCGTGAGTTGACGGTCGAACGATCGTCGAACCGTAGTAGGTCCACAGTGATATCACTATGAGTTTATGAGGTGTTCACTTTGAAAAAATCATTTTTCCGCAGTAGAAGCATGCCATACTGACAACATAAATGCTAAGGTTCCACGAATTACGAACGGTCTTTTCATCATAGAACTGCTGATAAGTCAACATTTATTTACCATCTGTAGTTAGTGACGCAACAGAACGAATATACTGTTTTTCGACAGTGATTTCACCCTACTACAACCCTAACTAGATAGTGAAATAGCCGTCACGTGAAACGACCGTGAATCGACCATCTTTTCACTATGGAGTCACCGCGGATTTACCGTAAGCATGAAACCGCCAGGGGAGTTTGTTTAGCGCCAATTCGGTCAATTTTTTAACTAGTTTTAAACTAATTCAAGTCGAGATGGAGCATTCCATCTTCGCTAAGGATCGAGACGGGATTGTCCCTGGGTATTAGGTCGATGGACTCCATCAAACAAGAATACTAGTAAGCTGGAAGCTGTTAGTATCTGTTCGAAAGTATAAAGATGTTAATAAACGAAAGAAATCCCCTGAGAGCGATTGAATTATCATTGAATTATCAAATCACGGTCGCTAAAAAATACTTGTATATTAAAAAATATATTATTTCAATAGAAACTTTTGTTACAGGCTTTATACATTTTTTGCACATCCAGTAAGTTTTAGTAGGACATCGTTTGTAACCCGCACATTTTAAATTACACAATTCAAGGCACTTGTCACAGATTACATTTGTTCATAATTTCAATTGCTTGTCTACTTTTGGGTCCGAATTTTTTTTACATGAAGGACATTTACAATCATTTATTTTTTTTTTGTGTCAAGTAAAATTCTATAAGTCTTCAAGCATCCACAGTGGAAATTTTTTCATTTAATTTATATTTATAATTTTTATCTACAACTGCAGAAGTAACGTTGTCTGGAATTGTTTTTATTTCAAATTTTCTAATCGAACAACTTGAGTTTAATGCATTAAAAATCGTTTCATTATTCACAAACCAATTTATTATTTTATCATATTATCAGCAACTTATTATGTAATCATTTTTTCAATCACGGGCCCGGAATAGGGACCGGTAACATCAGCGAATCCTTTCAGGGAAATAAGGAAGATGACATGGAACTAAATCACAGATTATTAGAACAAACGAATCAGTACGGATAAGACTGAGCAAAAAGTTGTTCGAGCCGCCTTGCTGGAGGAACGCGGACGTTTTTGCCATCTCGCGAAATTGATCAAGCCGGTTCTCGACGAGGAAATAGCGATGCTGATGGATTTGACACATCTTCAAGAGGTCTTTGAGCAACTGGAACTACATACGCGGGTCCCGTATGATCTTCTAGCGTAGTGCGAGCAAATAATAACTGACTTGAAATAGCAAAGCAACTCGGGCCATTGGCCATTACATCACCACTTGACCTCAACTAATCCGCTTTCGAGCCCTTCGTTGTCTCTGGGCTCCCGCAAAAGCTTCATGTGCTCCAGCAGCGAGTCTTGCAAAAATCATCCTAGTCCAGCCTGGGGGCACCCTCACCACTGGCCCAGATCGTTTTCTCAGGTGCAACTTTTAAGTCATCATTAATCAGTAATTATTTGATTTATTAAAAGTGTTTTAGTACTTTCAATATAGAACTCATCTAATAGAATAGAATGCATTTGCTTGCAACTACTGAACACTTGTATTAGATTACACGTTAGATGTTTGATGAATGTCGTAGTCGATTAACACTTGCAAATCGATAATTATTGACTCGGGAGGAGGATACGATAATAATCTAATAATGTTTCTAAAACATTGATGCTACGTCGTCATTTATCACCTGGTAGCTCACGTGATTCAGGTTTTACTTCTCTTAATATTGTATTATAAATTATGAACAAAATCTATTCGCTAGATTCTACATTTTTTCAATGATAATTTTATTATTCTAAAGGATTATATGCACATAGAATTTTTAGAAAATCAACTTTTTTTTTTTATTTTTGTAATGTCAATATATTAAAGTACATAGACAAATAACTTGGGTAAGCAAAATTTATCAAATGATTGATAATATCAGTCTAATTTTTACAGAATTTTCTTAGCTATATTTTTCAGTAATTGATCCGAGGAATATTAATTCCGATTATTTAATATTAAGTAGAAGACTAAAATTTTCATTGAAAAAAATTTTTTTTGTCAAGCCGCTATTTAGTTAGAAATGAATGTTTTCATCATTTCTTCAATTGATCGCCAAATAAGATTTAACATTAATAAGACTGTCCTAAGATCATCCACAAAAACTCCACTTAATTTCCACGTGTATACTTTGATAGATTAAACCTTTTCAAACAATAAATTGCATCATAAGATACTAAAATCAAATTATTAAAATTTCTCAACGCTCTTATGCTTATTCAGATGTCCCTTCTGCAGTAGTAAACCTCTATGACGTCACTGACATGATTTAAAAATAAAAAACTGATTTATAGATATCAAGTGGGTCTTCCCAAAGCAACGTGAGTAAAATACTAATACCGGATCGACAAATATAAATCAGCAGCAGCGTCCGCTCTCCAACGCCACATAGCCCAATTCACAAGAAACAGCCGCCGGTTATAAGAGACAACCATCCAAAGGACAGACATCCGATGAACGACCTCATACTATTTCGTCGGCTTACGAGAAGGCTGGTCATAAGCGACCAGCGTTGAGTGTCTACACATTCCAAACGCCAGACTCAACAGGGATGTCACAGCTGTGACAGCCAACCTGCTTAACCTGTGTCTGCCAAAACTGTAGCGGTCAACCCAGCTTGCACATCATCAAAAGCTGGTAAAGCTGCTGACGCCCCGAGACGCTCCAGTCCAGAGCGCTCTACGTCCACTTCACGGTTCAATAACGACGGTAATGGTAATCAACGTCCTGGTAAACCGAAATTACTTTTGCCAGCGCATTTAGCTAAAGGTAATTTTGCTTTTTTTATTTTGATTTAATGTCATTATATTTATGATAGCGATAATTGAGTATTGATTGTGAATTGGTGATTCCTCCACAGAATTATTAGCAAATCAATTGGTTACCCAGTCGATGTACGTAAACATGAATGAGTTGGCTAATTTAGCAGCTAATCGAACGCAGGAAATGCAAGTTCGAACTGTACGCAATTCTGCTGCTTCATCAAACCCAAATCTTCCTGAAAAGGTATTTTAACTCATCAATTAGGATGGCTAAAAAAGTCGATTTATTTTTTATTCTCAATTTTTATTAAAAGTGTGTTAATTTATCATGTCCAAAAATCAGTTAGATTAAAAAAAAATTTTAGAGGTCACTCCTGAGTCATAATTGTTAAAAACTTTAAAAATCATCAAAAATTAATTTTTCTTTTGCTTTTAATTTTCTTATTATTTTATACTTTTTTAGGTTGAAAATTACGTACACTGATAATTTGAAGTCAAAATTTTTTACTTTTAGAAATTGCATAAAATTTTTTAAACTATCAAAGATGCCAGATAAATATTTTTAATTAAACTACAAGAAAAAATATATTTTAAAATTTTGTAAATTTTTAATGAATGATTCTTGTCCGCTATAAAAAAGAATAAAAAAAATTTGATTATTGGACTTTTTTCTAACTGAAAAACGGTTGAGTCTTGTGAGACATCAAAATAACTACTCATGTTTTAATAGTTGAATTTTTGTGCCACACTATTACCAATTTATATTTTTCAATTAACTCTGGATATGTATTTTTGCTTAAATTTAATCAAAATATCAACATAATTAAAAAAATTATTATAGATAAGTATAAATTGATTATTTTCCAGACTGAATCAGCAATAACGCCATTACCAAAAGAAGATACACCTCAGCAACCAGAAACGAGCAATTTAGATATGAGCGCAACATGTACATTGCCTCGTTGTGGATCATTTCAGCAAAACAAGCCAACACGCTAAACTTCTACAATAATCACCTCAACGACAAGTATTACTAATACTCTCAAAGAGCGTACAAACTGCAGCATCAGCGCGAGCAACCTTCTCCAAATAGCCGGGCCTGACAGTGACTTCACCAGCTCGTTCCCAAACATAGCAGACGAAGCAAAGAACCTTCCTCCGCCACCAGCATTCCTATTGGGAAGAAGTTCGTTAATCGCGAGTCATCTCCCAGCTAAAAGATCAGTATCCATTTCAGAGACAGTGAGAATATTTACCAAGCTGCGTCATACACCCGCTAGTTCGTCATTCATGCGTAAGCTGATAGCTTAACAGGCACAACCTCCAGTAACACGTGTCACTCGGTCAGGTCCCGAGCATTCGAGCTCCTCCAGGCGTGTATTGACTTCCATCATTGAGTCATCTTCATCTGGGCACAGCTCTTCAAACACCACTGTCTCTAACACTTCGACTTTCAACTCCAGTCAGTAAAATTTTATAAGTGTTCAAAGTTTTAAATTTAGCAGCTCTTCCATCAACTAAGCTGCTGGTAACTGCAGTCCCAAGTTAATGCGCAAATATCATTTTTACCATTGAATTATAGACCCAAACTTGTTCTGCTCCGCGGCGTACCAGCGTCGGTTTTCTCGAGACGCTTAATGCTAAATTGGCGACACAGAAATACCAACAGCATCAGCAACAACTTCAACAACAAATACCTCAAATACACACTCACTTAAAAAGTACAACCGCGACATCCTCTACTCTTAATAGATCTGCCAGCGTCAGACGGATTATGGTCAACAGAGTTCCTATTATAGATCCGCTCCAAGTGAGAGATTCATTGGTGGATCAACTAAGACGTAGTACTTCTTTGCGTAAAACAACCGGTACTATTAATGACTGGCTCCACAAATATATTGATTATTAGTTGATTAATCATAATCATTAATTATATACTTAAGGGGGGAAATGCGTGTAGAAAGACATTTTCATGTTGATTTTTTATTATTTTTTTTAAGGCATGAAAATTAATGTTATTTATTGAATCTATCAGGTTATTTTATTTTATCTATATACAGATATATAAGAGATTTCCAGGTATATAGTCACTCATAGAAAGTCACTCATCACGATATCTCGGGAATCGTAAGACCTTGAGACTTGAAATTTGGTAGGAATATTCCTTTCGCTGAGTAGAGGTCAGCTAAGAACGGATTTTACGAAATTCCACCCACAAGGGGCGTTGCGAGAGCGTCAACAATAAAAAATTCCAGTTTTTAAACTATAGCTCCGACATGTTCCAAATTTGGTAGAAATCATTTATATGTGATCCAGAAATTATCTATGAGCGGATATTATAATAACTCATTCCCAATAAGGATTGCGGGGGTGGGTGTTAACAATGAAAATTTTAAATTTCGAAGTTGTAGCTCCTATAGGTTCCAAATTTGATAAGAGTCTTCTATATGTGAGGTAAAAATGATCGACGAGTGGATTTTATGATAACCTACTCTAAATTGGATTGTGGGGGTGAGGGTTAACAATGAAAATTTCAAATTTCCGTATTATAGCTCCCATAGGCTCCAAATTTGGTAAGAATCTGCTAATATATTTGAAGTAGAAATGATCTAAGAGCGGATTTAATGACACCCTATTCCAAATATGGATTGCGGGGGTGGGTGTTAACAATGAAAATTTTAAATTTCTCAGCTATAGCTCCTACAGACTCCAAAAACCGCGACAAAATAACCGCGACAAAATAACCGCGACAAAATAACCGCGACAAAATAACCGCGACAAAATAACCGGACGACAAAATAACCGTCGACAAAATAACCGCGACAAAATAACCGGATGACAAAATAACCGCGGACAAAATAACCGCGACAAAATAACCGAACGACAAAATAATTAGATGACAAAATATTCTCAAAATCGTGTTGTGCCCTTTTAACATGGTTTTTATGTGTATTTAATTTATTTAACATTAGACCAACACAAATGCGGGTAATCGTGTTGTGCCCTTTTAACATGATTTTTGTGTGTATTTATTCGACATTAGACCAACACAAATGCGGGTAATCGTGTCGTGCCCTTTTAACATGGTTTTTGTGTGTATTTATTCGACATTAGACCAACACAAACAAAATAATTAGATGACAAAATATTCTCAAAATCGTGTTGTGCCCTTTTAACATGGTTTTTATGTGTATTTAATTTATTTAACATTAGACCAACACAAATGCGGGTAATCGTGTTGTGCCCTTTTAACATGGTTTTTGTGTGTATTTATTCGACATTAGACCAACACAAATGCGGGTAATCGTGTCGTGCCCTTTTAACATGGTTTTTGTGTGTATTTATTCGACATTAGACCAACACATGAGATTGTTGCCATGTTGTGCCCTTTCTAACATGGATTTTTTGTATGTTTATCAAAGAATATTTTTTTCCAAAATATTTTGTCCGCGGTTATTTTGTCGTCCGGTTATTTTGTCGCGGTTATTTTGTCCGCGGTTATTTTGTCCGCGGTTATTTTGTTGTCCGGTTATTTTGTCGCGGTTATTTTGTCGCGGTTATTTTGTCGCGTCACCGACAAGAAATTGTCCAAAAAGCAGGGGTATATCAGGGGTTTTGACTTCTACCGGGAACAGGGTATTTCTTTTTTAGCTTTAATGTATTTATTATTCATGCTGGAAGAGGCTTTGACATAGATTTTTTTCTTTCTTATTAAAGTTAAGAGTAAATAGTAGAGTGTTTTTCTTGATCGTTTTTTAGTACGATGAAGCGCTTATAATAGGTAAGTTTTGAGTAGACGTAGCAACTAATATTTTTAAAGTATTTTAATTGTTGAATTTCCTAATACAGATGTGTATTAAAGATAATTATTAAGATGATCATATAAATAAATACAATTTTTCCCGCTAAAAATCTCAGATTTTCAAAAATCGGGAAGTTATTGTTTTCACAATAATAATACACAATAATTCAAAATAATACACAAATTGTATTTATGAGCTCGAAGAGCTCTAAAACGTCATAAGTGCAATTTCAAGCGTTTAGGTATAGAATTGGCGGGAAGTTGTAGGCATGGCCTTCCAGGGTCAACCGTATTCCTAATTTTTTTTAACTTTTTTTGTTTTAAATATTTATATTTTTTTACACAGTATTAATATAATTAAATAATTATAAAAACTACAGTACAAAGTAGAAATAGTGAACCAAAGCATTGTTAGAGTAAAAAAAAAGAGTATAAGTGCAAACTAGAGATATTTTTAATATAAAAAATCTTTGTAAAATCTTTGTAAGACACAACTTATATGATACAAATAAAACCTATTTATTATTATTTATTTATATTTTTTAATCATACTTTAATAATATGTCTCGGCTGCCCAATTTCAAAACACAGTAACTGACAATTTTAAGATTTTAAAAAATTTTTCTTGTTATTAAAAAGTTTGCGCACCCGACTGATAAAAAATTTGATTTATGAATAAAAAATACTTGAATATAAATATTTTTAAGAAAAAATACTTGAAATTAAGGTCTAAAAGTTATAAGAAATGCAGCAATACTAAAAAAAAAATCAGGTATAAAAATTTTGCAGTTACTGTGTTTTTAAATTGGGCAGCCGGACTATTTATATTTAAATATTTTTATTTTTTAATGATTCGTGGCATCGCTTTAAATGTAATAATGATAAATGAGATAAATAAGTCCGTGATTTGAAGCTTACACCAACGGATATCTGTGGTTATTAGGCACGGATGATAGGAAATTGTAACGTACTTTTGTAATATGAGACCTATTGTCTATATTGATGTTTATACTGTGAAGCCAATGATTCTGTTGTGCTTAATGTCGTTATACGTTTGTTTTAAACCTTACTAGTTTTTTTTTCATATGATATATACATATCATCAGTAATTTGTTAGTATAATTTTATGCGTGATATTAATTAATTGACTTGGCCTTTAATTTGTTATTAATTATGGATCCTTATCAATCTCCCTTGAAAGTAGGAGATACTTTCAAGTCTCATGCTGATTTACTAGATTACATGGAAAAAATAACTGACGATACTGGTGAACTGTACACAAGAGGAAGATCGAACAAATTATATGAACCAAATTTTAAAAAGACTAATTTATCTGCTTCAGAAATTGATGAAGTAATAAGTAGATTAGGTTATCTGCGAATCAACTATAAAGGTAAATATGGTCCATCAACAAAAACGTCGGACAATGAAGAAAAAAAAACAACGCAATACTAGGTAATCTTGCTATAAATCCATGGTTTATCTCAAAATTAAATTTTTTTTTTAAATTCAATTTTTTATGCTATCCAAAAAAAATTTTTAATTTGCGGAAAAATTTTTTTTTTCATTTCTGCACGTTTTATTAAAAAATACGTCGATTTCTGAAAAAAAAAATTTCTTATACGCCCTTTTGGCTTTTTATGAGTACCTTTTACCGGTATACGCCCGTATGGTATCTGGAACGCGATATTTCATTAGCAATCTCTCAAATATCAACAGCAAGACATAAGTTTGTAAAGATACGATCAGGCTTACACAACATTAAAAAAAATTGCTATGTGGGTGTAGATGCAATAATTTTTTACGTATTGCAAACTTTTTTGACTCGAATAAGATTTTCTATAGCGATATGATCGACTTTATTTTCCCCAAAAAATTTTATAACAATATTTTTTATTTGTTTTATAGCACCTTTAATCATGGATGTCCACTTTTTATAAGATTTTATAGAGTTCGAGAAGATGGTGAATACGTTTTAAAAGTGTTTGAAGCAAATTTCAACCACCTCAATCACCCGGCAAATAGTAAGGTAAGTTTTTTCGAGGCTCATGGTAGATGAACTCACTTATATATATTTTACTCATTTCCATTACACTAAAAATTAATTCGAATATAACAACAATATTTAATAACATATTAGTAAAAAATTTCGCTAAATTCAGCAGTCACTAATTTTTCTCTCGTTCTTACATAGCATTGTCACTCTATAGTCTCAATTTGAAAAATTTTATGTTCAGTACGGTTGTTTCAGTGAGATTTTAATGTATAGAAATTGAGGATATTAAAAAACTTTCTTATTATTTTTTTTTATAATACAATTTCTGATTTTTTGAAGTTAAAAGAAAAACTTTGTTTCAGGAATTAGTAAACGCCTTACCAGAGCGACGTCGATTACCACCTGAGCTGAAGAAAGATGTTATTGAATACATTAAATTAAAAAGCAAACACAAGATGATAAGAAATAAAATAAGGGAAGAAAATGGTATTCTTCTCACATGCAAAGATGTTTCAAATATTGCTCAAGCTAAAAGAAATCGTGGTGGCAATAATTTAGATGCGTTTCAACAACTTTTACACGATAAATATGGTAAATATCTCATTTTTTTCATAAAACTATTTTTAATACTTATTAAATGCTATATATTTGAAAAATAGATATTACGTGTTAGTTAAAAAAAAAGAAATTTAAAACAACATAAAATAATTTCTCTAGTAACATTATCATATCGGCTCAATTTTTTCAAATACATGTATAATGTCAGATTTAATAAATCGGCATTTATTTCTAAAGAGATATTATTATTATTATTATTATTATTATTATTATTATTATTATTATTATTATTATTATTATTATTATTATTATTATTATGTTATTAAATGCTCAGGGGGGTTGTCCCCGGAGTCCGACTCTCCGAGGGCCCAGCCTGAGCTCCATCCATTACTGCTGGACCACTCCGCACAACAAGG